ACGAACCCGTGCCCATGCGTGTTTTTTAGTGCGCAAGTTGCCACTACACCACCTCCGCCCTAAAAATAAACAAACAGCAAGCAAACAAATTAGTATGACGTCGACAAGTAGGAAAATCAGCATGGGAGGCTCCCTTCTTTCGAACCGATCCTGTTTTTCTCTTCCCGGCAAAAACACCCTATTTTCATTTTTTATTTTTTTATAAAAATATTATTGTGTTTATATTTTATTAGCCTTTCGAGTCATGAATAGCAAATGTCATTTATATATCAACAGATAAATATAAAGAGACTGAGACAGGTTATTTGGCTTTTTTACCGACGTCATTCTGACTTCTTGTAAACATCGATTGGAGCTCATAGACCAACACGAGCAAGGACGAGAAAACAGACGGAAGAGCGGCAGACAGGAAAGAAACGAATGCATCAGAAGAAAATGAGAAAAGGAAGCTCGGAATGGAAAGAGGGGGCTGTTTAAAAGATAGTTTCAGTAAGTAAATGTCAAAGAAAAAGGAGTAATACTGCTTACACCGGTCGGTTGTGTCGAATAGTATGGAGGAGGTTGGCTCATTGCTGATGGACTCGATCGGAGTAATACTGCTTACACCGGTCGGTTGTGTCGAATAGTATGGAGGAGGTTGGCTCATTGCTGATGGACTCGATCGATGTCAGCCAGCCGACGGACGACGACGACGGCAACCTCTGTGGGTGTGTCTGTGTATGCAACGAGACAGTCGTGGTCGATGTTCACAGAACCGCAGCAGAGATGGAGGGCGAGAGAATTTCCTGTTCGACAATTGAATTTCTGTCGATTGGGGGATACCCAACGGAAGCGCCGACGACCACACACTGACTCAGCCCCACCAACCACCTCGGGATACCCGCCCCACCCCCACGATGACACAAAAATCAATCCGCGCACTTCATGGAGGTAGCCAGGTGCGTGTGAACAGCATGTACACGTGATCGCCCCAGAGCGATATTTCGGCTCCGTCGGCTCCGAGACCTGGTTGGATTGTAGTGAGTAGTAGGGATCAGTGCTCTGAGTAGTCCTTTTGTCACGAATCTGGGCTAATCCCTGGCCATCACCTAACCGAGACCCTAGCCTAGCTAGGTAAGTCTTATCATTGCCCAGCTCTTCCCAAGTAGCAGTTTATTAAAAAACTGTTCCCCACTGAATGAATCATTAACATAGACGGAAACCAATTGAGTTTTGAGAATAGTAGAAGTGGCATGCTGCCCTTAGGATCTCTCCCTCAGCGTATAGACGGAGTAGCCCAAACCAGTTCTTTTCGCTATGAGCAAAAATGACTATCGTGACTCGATGGTTGAAGAGTCCAGTAAGTGGTCTTGCTCTGTTTAATACCTGTTCTGGTAAGCGAGAAGAGGTTGCGCAGAGAGAAAGGGCGACACTAACAAATGAACAACCGGGGTAATGAAATTCTAATTCTGAACACGGCCATGTATGTAGGTCCTTTCACACTCTGAGATCAACTGGTCAGTAGCAGACTCCTTGAAGGGGTAAAAGAACTGACTCATTCATCAACTGGACCCTTTATCTCACACCTTATGTCTTATTTCTAGCCCAGCATCACTTCACCTTATGCCTTCCAGGTGTTTCAGTGATTCTCAGTGAACGTCAACATGTGGAGCGACCAGGGAAGGGTTCGACCATCGAAGAACCATCGTTGTGTTTTGTTCTAACTCGAAAAACAAAATCTTGCAGAGCTATTATTATCCAGAAGTCAACAATTATGACGGAGCCAAAGATCAGAAAACCTAGGAATAAACAAACACTATGGGCGACAAATGCTTGGCAAACATACTGCAACTATCCCAAGATGCTCTTGCACTATGAGTGCCTTTCTATTCCAGAGCAGCAGAGGAGGATTTTTTCCTTTACTCACGCCCACCCTTGATCTTCCATGTTCAATCAAAAACGCCGGAGCTACAGGTGGAGTAACTGTCTGAGACGAGAAGGCCCAACAAGGCTTCATCCCCTAAAGGAAATACAAGGACGGGGCCGGCCCTTACCTCGTTTTTTTTTTCATTTACTTCCTCCATACACCCCAGCAATCTATTGTTCTGTATCGCTCTAGTGTGTCCCACGACAATGTTTCTCCCATTTGGGAATTCGGATATTTGCACTCAAGATGAAAACAAGAAAAAAGGGTAGGGGTTCAGAACATTTCGAACATCGGGCACATTTTATTATGTGTACATTTATTTAGAAAAAAAACACCTCTCAAAACAATCACTTTCATTTTACCTAACAATCTGTCTTGAACCGGTCGCCATGTCTCTCACAGGTACCATTCTCCCTAGGATGACGATTATATCGAGCTCGAACAACTCAACACAGATTGCATCGATGAATATGAATCATCGGACGACATTTCTCACAAAATACCAAAAGAAAGACGGTCATCATCACTGAGTAAACCAATTGCAAAGTCAGCGATATTTTCGTTTTTTCCCTATGAACATACTCAAAAACTGTTCCTACACGGAGTTTTCATACTCCAAAGTTGTTATTCGGTGACATTTGCGGTTACATTTCCAGAGGTGACCCAACTCAATACTCAGAAACCATCGAGGAATCGTTGGAGGAGAGACAAGCCCTTTTCGAACAGTTGAAGAAGGAATATACGGATATGATATGCAAAGAGAAACCAGCAGTCATTTTTGCGCAGGTCATTTTTGGCTTTCAAATTTTGGGCTTCAAGCAGCAGCTCAGAGGTGGTGGATGGCGCTCGCTAGACTTACCGCAATCATCCACCGAAAAAAATTCAAATCTACCGCTTACACTCCGACGCGCGGCTGGAGCGGCGGGCTAGTCTTCCCGCTCGGGTGTAAAGTCCCACACCCAAAGGTAAATGGAGCTACCGCTGGTGACTCGAGATCACGAAGTTGATAGGATCTGATCCCGCTAAGGCCTTCGAGTTGTCAGCTTTGGTAGGGACCGGAAATTGCAAGCTGTGAGTTTCCGAGCTGAAGTTGGACTGATTTAGAATCAAAGCTGTGTAAACCTAATAAACTCTGGAACGTCTCTGCGATAGCTTTGCCCGTGATTTTTGACGGCCGGTGCTTCCCAAATGGGGATATTAATTGGAAAAGAAATTAATCAATGATTTTCCACTACTTGTTGGAAGTTGCTTTCAGGAAGAGAGTGAAGTTACAGAGGGAACCACACTTGAAGATTTTCTACAAAAACATGGACCATTTCCAGTGGAAGAGCACATCGCAGCAGGGATTATACGAAGTTGTTGATCTGACCGCAATACGGTACTATACAGTATCCAATTAGGCGTATGTTCAGGTGTGAGTTCGGCGATTATGTTCCTGCACTGCAGAGAAGTGATTCATGGCTGTTTGGATTTCACGTCTGTCGTTCTTGACAGATATTTCAACGCTAAAACCATCATTTCTTCAGCAGTCTATCGCGTAAAATCGTCTAAAGCGGCAGGGTAAACTACTGAACCAGAATAGGCTTTTTTTCAATAAAAATATAAAATTTTCAGAGCCAGGGGTAAGGTCGAAGATGTATTTCATGTTGGACTGTTGCTCTACCGCTTGCTCACTGGACACAAGGCGAAATTCGGGGATGTAAGTATGTGGGACCGGTAAAAGTTGAAAGTACTCTGTTCAGGGTTCCTAAGTGGGTGCCTTAACAAAAGCGGAGACATGGGGTAATACTAAGTCCCACTGGAGTGGTCCGAAAATCAAATCCAGAGGTCAAACTCCTCCATGCCACTAAAAAAGGGCATAGCCTGAAACAAAATAACTACTTGTATATTGACCAGCCTCTATATACAAGTGGCACAGGGATCTAATTTCGGAATAACATTCGCCGAAGCCGAGCGTTCCATTCTCCGAGGTTAATGAATTGGTAGAGACCTGCCTGGAAAGACGGAATCACTGACTTGCTCCTCGGCTAGTCTTCACAAGTCACCGTGTAAGTCACATGATTTTGAATGGAAGTCGGCTGCAGGGCGCATCCCAGCGATGGATTTCCGCCGACAGATTGTATTCTCTCTTCCCACGTGAGATTTATGAAAATCATAAAACTCACCTCTAAAAAATTAAGGTAATGAGGTACATATTTTTCTCGAGCCAGAAAGATGTCGTTGATCGCAAAGCGGAATTGGGAAAGATTTTTGTCCGTCCTTTGTTTTATGACCCTCCCACTAACCACAAAGACACCATTTCCTCAGTTTTTGTAATTCCAATTACACGAGCTTCTAACGACTCTAACGAAATTTAAGAACGGTGAACTGTTGACCAAACCAAGTCCATATATGAGAATATCGGAAAGAGGAATGAAACTGGTCGAATTTATGTTTGCAACGAATCTGAGGTAAGTTTCTGCTAAGTAGATGCGTGAGTTATCCCAGAAGGAAGCTTGGATGTTTCAGATTCCCTCCAACGATTGGACGAGTTCGTTACAGTGAATGGCTGGACGAATGTGACGAAAACCCACCGGTATTTGTCCTGTTTCCTAGCTGAAATTACTAACCAGTTTAGTCAGAATAATAAAACTCTCATTCCCACAGACCTCCTCAGGACACTTCGCATACGACTCTCAGCCAGAATAGTTCTGTAAAAAAAAAATCCGAAAATCTTGGAGTAGGTTAGCGCTCCGGAATAAGCCATGCATCCAACTTTAGATCAGAACTGGGCAGCATTTGAGCATGTCTTCAGCAATCGGAATAGCTTCTGAATGCTTCAATGGTTACCCCCTCG